TATATGAATTGTGAAGATTTCTTTTGAGTCGGAGCACTCTAAATACAGCCTCAGGAAATATCTGCATTAAAATCCAAAGCTTAAGCTTCTTAGGCATTCTCAGTTTGTTCTGTTTTAATGAACACAGTTCATTAGTGTTACTAATTTAGTGCTACTGATCACTATATTGTGCAGATATTTTGTGCTACTTACGTATTTTTTTTTCCATGAAGGCAATTTGCATGTCGCACACCTTATGTAAGAGTTATAATTAATCTTGTTAAAAAGAAGTAATTGTGAACAAAATTTCGAGCACTTGTATTTGAGGAATGGCACAAATGCAGTCTTTAAGTATGACATATTATTTGTCCTTAAACTTGTGCCGAATTATTTCTTGCTTTAAGTCATGAGTTTTTTTTTCCTGTCAAAAATGAGTATTCTTTGCAATGTTCATGCAACGAACCTTCATCTACTTAGGACTTCACGCATGTTCTTGTTCTGTTTACCGGATCATAAAAGCAGGGGTTAAATCTTGCATCATCCCGTTTCAAATAAAGGAAAAAATACCTTTGAGCAAAAGGAGAATCCAAGGCTGCAGAGTGAGTCTGTGGCCGTGCTGAGCAGCTGCCCCCACTAGAGGGCAGTAATGCACTTGCTGCAGCGTGAGGCTGCCCATTGCGCCCTCCCAGCTGTCGTGGTGATTTAGTCTAGTGGTTTAGAATATTAACCAAAAGAAGGAAAAAGGAAAAAAAAAAACTTTTTTTTCCATCTGCTTTGTTTTCCACAGAGTCAACAGGTCTATTTTGTCTCCATATTTTGTCCATACATATCTGTACATGTTCATATAGTTGCATAGACATGCATTTCCAACCGTCTAGAAACCAACAGATACAAGTGAAATTTTGCCTCTTTGTGCTTATATGGTCTTTTACTATGATGGGGATTTACACTGTGCATAAACTACTGATGGTAACCCACATTTTACATGGTGGCTGAATAATAGCCAGAGGAAGATTTTTCTAACAAAAATATCTAAATTTTTTGAAAGTTTTATTTGGAAGTCTGAGTCTTTCTGTCTCCACTAGGTAAGAGCCCGCTGACGCATGTTGCTGCAGGGCTCTTTTTTTGATACGGAACATAAATTTGACTTAAACTTCAGTTAGGGATTTTTAAATGAGCCTGTCCTTCAGTTGAAAAAAAGAAGGAAAGTGGTGTCATAGACTGTTATTTGGGGAAATAAAGGGATTATTTTGATCTTATTTGGCATGGAACATTCAGTAATTGATCCATCCCTTTCCCTTAAATGCACGCAGTACTACTGAA